ACTTACTAGCATGAATTTTGGTCTCAATTGTGGTCTTAAGTCGAGGACTACCTGTATTCCCAATTTATCTTCCAATTTTTTTAAAAAATTCACTCGCTGTCATTTAAAGGTGAGCATTTATGTCCCATCCCCATTTTCAGAACAGCAGAGAAACACTTATCTTGTGTTATCAGAAATCTGGGATAAGTGATATACAATGCGTTGATGTATTGGAGATGCTGCCAGGATCAGGTTTGGCTTTGTGGTGAAACAGATTACAGCTTAATTCATACATTTAGGGAAGCTTCTGAAATGCAGTGAGATAGGAAGTCCAATTTTCCAGAAAGGCAGTCGATTGCTGAAAAAGCAACTCTGGGGAGAGACTGCCTAAAACATGTGCACAACAATGATCAGGGACAACATTCCCATTTATCATCTGCAAAAAATCTGCCCACTGCATCCAAAGACTTATGAGAGGGAGTCATATTTTGAAAAGCTTTGGGGAATGCTGATCAGAAGTGGGATGGTGCGAGAACAGTCCATGCTGATTAACTGGACATGTCTAGGCAATTAGAGAGTACAGCTGTGGCACCAAAGTTCGGCTTTCGTGGCAAAATCTTGTGTTTCAGCTCACACCTGGGATTTCATTCAGAGGAAGGGTGACAGCCTAATCTCCATAGGTTGTACATAGAGTCACAGTTCTCTGAATGTGGATGTGGAGAGTGGATTTGATACCTTCTGAATCTGAAGGGGGGGAGGAAACTGTGCAACTTAAATGACCATCCCATCTCACCCCATCTCTGTCTCTTCATTTGTATCTTTCACATGAAGAACAAGCAAGCAAGAGGGAAGAAACAATCGAATGGAATATTACCAATGTGAAAGTAAACTTTCACTCATAGTAGATTCTTCTTTTTACAGAACTGGTAATTTGAGCTGCAAAGACTATAGAAGGGAGCAGTGGTGGAATTCAACTGGTGTAACAATTGGTTCGCTGAGCACAGTACGTTTGAAAACAGCTCTAAAATTTTGGACTGCTCCCATCTCAAGTCTCTTCTTTGGAGGGTCTGGTTGCTAGAGGGCACATGATTGGGGAGGTTCTGAGATCCAGAGGGCACCAGATTGGGGAAGACTGCCATAGTTCCCCATGAGGAAAATATTCTATTCCCATTTAGTCAGAAGAAAGTAGAAGGTTGAACTCGCTGATATTTTGGGATACTTTGGGACCTGATGCCCTCAATCATGGAGAATGAAATCTATTTACACAGTCTTTCTCTTTCATCTAGGCACATATCTAATCCAGGGCTTTGTTTCTTTTATAGCAAAAATGGAAGAACTAGAAATGATTGGGATTTACTACCCCCTTCCCTCCTCCCTCTCTCCCACTTTCTCAAGTCAGTTTTCATGCCTGGTGACTGTTTGGTGACTGTCTTTGCAGCTTTCTTTCCAAGATTTTTCAGAAGTGGTTTGCCATTGTCTCCTTTTGGAACTGAGAGAGAATGACTGGCTGAAGGTCACCCAGTTAGCTTCATGCCTAAGGAAAGACTAGAATTCACACAATTTCCATCCTGGTGCCTTAACCATTGCTCCACACCGACTCTCTTTCTCTCATTTTCCAACTTCAGTTTTTACTCCCTTTTCCCTTCTCTGTCAATCCCTTCGCTCCCTCCCTCCCCAACCAAGAGACTGCTAGAGAAGGAACAAATTGCTCATGCCAGGGCTCTGAGCTGATTTTTGGCAGAGGTCTTTCAAAACTGGGCTGAGAGCTGTAAAATTATGCTAGAAGCTGCAGCTTACCAGTCCCAGTGCTACAGTGCAAAGAAGTTTTGGCAATGGAATTTCACAGAAAAAGAGAGAGGGGGGGTGGAGAGAAGGTTATGTCAGCTGTATGGAACCCCTCAGCAAATGAAGTAGCTGTATAAATTCATACAGCCCTGTTGATGTCGCTGGACTGTTTCACATGCATATAAATCTTGTTACATTAAAGTTTTATATGCTTTAGTGACAGGCACCCTGGATATACTGGAAATATCACATGATTAGTTGAGGTTATTTTAAAAACAGAAAATAAACACTGATTTCAGCCTCATATTTCCTGAGCTGGTGATTCTTTTAGGAAGAGCTGAGTAGCAACAATTTTCCTGGCTCCATCCCTATTAAAATAATGGCTTTTTGCCAGTTGAAGAATCTTGGTGGAATTTGAATGTTTTTAGACTATAAATATATTCTGTAGGTTATTCATCAAATTATCAAACAGTAATAAGCAGGATGATCCTGCTCATATGTACCTTTCATCCAACATGCACTGGCTTTCTCTCTGTTCCTTTTCATTCCTTCATACAACCCCACCTGCACCCCAAAAATTGGAATCCTTTCAAAAGTCAGAAAATGTAGCATATGTTTCTTAAGCTAGATCTAAACTTTCTCCCTTTCTTTGTGAGAACTCAATGGGAGTTAGATGAAGGTAAAGGTTCCCCTCGCTCATATGTGTTAATTATTCCCGACCTTATGGGGGGGTGCTCATCTCAGTTTCAAAACTGAAGAGCCAGCGCTGTCCGAAGACGTCTCCGTGGTCATGTGGCCAGCATGACTAAATGCCAAAGGCGCATGGAACATTGTTTCCTTCCCACCAAATGTGGTCCCTATTTTTCTACTTGCATTTTTACATGCTTTCGAACTGCTAGGTTGGCAGAAGCTGGGATAAGTAACGAGAGCTCACTCCATTATGCGGTGCTAAGGATTTGAATTGCTGATCTTTCTGTTCAACCAGCTCAGCGTCTTAGCCACTGAGCCACCATGTCCCTATTTTATGAAAACATGGCGATATTAAGAAGAGCATAGAAGGAAAACTGATCAAATACCCTAGGGTTTAAGGCACCTTACAAGTTATCTATTTTTGATACAATAACAATTAATAAAGCCAAGTTATATACCAAGTGTGAAAACACACAAATGAAGCTTCCTTTTTCAGATATGGAGGTATTCTTGGAGATAGCATTGCTATTATCTGGATTGCCAACTAATCACATTTTTGAAATCACACAAAAGTCACAACGATCAAAAACTTAAGGGAAACACAGGCATTTTTCACAACAAATCAGTACCAAATGAACACTACACTTGTTGTGTAATGTCTTTTATATGCAGAACATCCCTCCCCTGTCCCCCCAACTAGTTTCTGCATCAGGCAGCTGATGGTTTGGAGCTGTCATATAACATATGGAAAGGGTACTCAAGAGATGGCATGACATACCATGAACAGCTGCAACAACAGCACCAGCAGAAGCAACACGTGTTGTTGGCCCTTTGGGTTCCAGGAGCTTGAGACACAGCCGATGTTCCTTCATTTTGGGACTGTTGCCTTTTTCTCATCTCAGCTACTTCAGCACCCCTGTGGCTACAAGAATGTGGACATAAGAGAAAATCAAGGGAATGCAGCTAAAAAGATCCCAATAGCTCAGACCCATCTTCAAGCTCAAAACCTCAGATGCCATCAACCACAGCAGGGTTTAAGAGACTTAACAGGGGCCAAATTTAATCTCTGTAGTTTTGCTGTCCCTAATTAATAAAGCAGGATTTCCTTTGGCAGAAAAAAAGGAGAGAAAATTGCAGGGTAGTAATCAAAAAGGACCTCTATTTGCAGGAAATGTTCATGGAACCAAAAGATTTTCCTTTCCCTTCAAATACTTTCATGTCTGTGGGGAATAAGACTTGGCAGCATGTGTCTACCCACTGGACAGTTTTACCTTTCTCCCAATTCAAGTTTTTCCCTTCAGACCAAGAGATCAAGAATTCAGGTTTAAGGACATTCTCTCCCTCCATGAAATGCTTGGAAGATGGTTCCTCCCTTCACCAAAATAATTACTTTGTGTGGCTATTGGGATTGGATGGAGAAGCAAAAGGGTGACATGACCAACTTCTTTGCCTGCCCAGATGTTTTGGAAGAGCAGGGCTGAGATAGGCAAGGTGATCCTCCACAGAGATCTTGGACTTCAACTCTAATCAGCTAATCCAATGGCAATTAGTTGTGAGAACAAGAAGAGCCCACTGCCTATTGTTGGCCCAGAAGCAGTGAGATTATTAGGCTTTGAGATTCAGACTGCAGAACTTAACTAAAATCCTTCACAGGTCCTTTCTTATTATTCAATATTCATTTAGCTTCAGGAGTTCTTTTTCTTATTCATAATCTCTGAAGTGCATCTCACAGTTTATGTAACACTAGGCGATATTTAAGACAAAGTGATAAAGCTGTTGTAGCATTCTGCATTTTCTGTTTAGAAAAATAATGGTACTGGAGATACCCAGATGTAGTCATTGTTTACATGAAACATGACAATGAGCAACAGAAAAGTATATCTAATATCTAGGTACTATGGGAGATAATAGTATCGTACAAGTCAGCTTTATAACATACAAAATAAGTTGTATGCTACCATCTAGGACAGGGGTGTCAAACTCACATTGTCACAGTGGTGCCACATGATGTATCGGGACATTTCCCCCCTTCGCTAAACTGGGCATGGCCATGGCCAGTACATGACACATCTGGCCCGCGGGCTGAGAGTTTGACAGCCCTGATCTAGGAACTCTGTTCTGCCAAATCCTTGGCTATGTCACCATTACTATTATTACAGGCAGAATATGATCTTTGTTCAGATTCTGGTGGTCCATATATGTGGCAGATGAATGACGCATAGGTCTGTATAATGAAGGTAACATTGTTTAATGCTGAGTATCCCAGATGCCTCCCTCATTGCCAAATTATGGGAGCAAGATTCTGCAGTCTGAAAGAAAAAATTCTGCATTTTTTTGTATCCTTTAGAGATATCCATAATAGTTAAACTGGGTTAAAACCAATTAAGTGTTCTCTTAATTGGTTTCAGCAGGAATCTGTCAATAACCATATTCAGTATATCATGTTATGTTTTTCCTTTCTTTCTGTCTGGTCCTAAATATGACTTCAATATTTAAAGAAACAGGAAGACCATATTTAGAAGATCCAATATATTACTTGTGTCTGGAGCCTAAGCAAATTTATGAATGATTTTAAAAACCCATCAAGGATAGATGGATGAATAGATTAAACAATTTCGTATAGTTCGTATCCATGTGTACTTATGCCCCAAAATATATCCTACTGATTTCAATAGTCTAAATCTTTATATGACTTCTACTTTAGATACATAGGGTCCAAAGAATAGATTGTTTATGGGCAACATATTGATAGTGAAACAACCAAGTATTTCTATTTCTCAGAGAAGCACAATTGCACATATCTTTTATTCCAGCAACATCCTCTATTAGTTGCCACTAATATTGTCATTGTCATTTCTATTTAGAGAAGTAATCAATCAGCTGAGGCACTGATGGACACCATTAAGCAGAAACAAGTTAGAGAAACGTTATTATTAATTTTCATTCATAGACCAAGATTGTTCTGTTGTCCTTTATAATTAAACAGCAAGCTGCCCTATGAAGCATAGTTCACTATAAACTGCATAGACGCCTGCTGCCATATTTAGGAATAATTAATTTTCACATACTGCATTCTGCCCATAAAAGTAATTAGCATGGAACGATCCCTGTGGCCTTGAAACAATGACATGAAATGAAATCTTGACAGATATAAGACTGCCACCAGCACTGTTAACCTATATATTCACACGTACTCCACCCTCCTCATTAACACTGACAATTCTATGACTAAGCAAAGTGTAAAGACCGTAGCCAGGGCCAGTTCTACGATTAGAGAGAGTGTGGCAATTGTCTCAGATAAGAGTTGCTGAGAAGCCATAAACCCTTTCTCATCAAAGACAAAATTGTGCATGCCAGAAAAATCCCTTTTGTCCATTCAATTACACAAATCAGTTGTTGTATCCAGGGCCAAGGGAAGATGCTTTTTATTGCTAAGGCTGAATTAGAATTAGACCCAAATCCTGCAGACTTCTCTGTCTCAAGCAGTAAAATATCTTGAGATGATCCTGCTTTTGGCTGAGAAAATCTGGTTCTGGTGCATTATTGATTTAATTCTTTATTAAAACAGGACAATAGCCAACAGGTAAAATGGAAAGCAAGGAACTTTAAAATGGATATTAGGATGTATTTCCCAACACAGCAGATAAGAACTGTGGCTTATCCCTCTGAAGATTTAAAAACTTATTTAGTAGATTCCTCAATCGAGCAGGCATTGGACTAAATAGCAAAAGTCTTATATATCACTTCATAATGCTTTACAGCCACCTCTAAGCAGTTTACAGAGTCAGCATATTGTCCCCAATAATCTGGATCCTCATTTTACTGACCCCAGAAGGATGGGAAACTGAGTTAACCTTGAGACAGTTAGAATCAAACTCAGGCAGTGAGCAGTGAGTTAGCTTGCAATACTGCATTCTAACCACTGTGCCACCACCATGGCTCTTGCATGCACCACCCCTTTATAAATTCTATGATTCTATGACTGTCTGCATCGGGATAGGCAATCTACTTCAGGTGATTTGAATTACAACTCTTATAAATTCCAATAGTCAGGAACTATACAAGTGGCATCTAAAACATCCTGGTCTATGTGCTTTCATTTCCTACAGCCAATTCCCATAATTCCTTTTGCAGAAAACTATGATATTACCCGACCTGTATCTTGACTATAGCATCATCACACCAGAAACAGCATCAACTACCGCATTCAAACAGAAAAAAAAATCATGAATAAAGGGGAAAAAACCTGGAGAAAATTCAACTTGAATACTGATTTGCTTTGAAAAATAAATCTGATTTGATTCAGGTGTTCATACCAAATCATCAGTTTCGGTTAATTTAATTAAGATTTCCAAACTAATCTAGAAAAAGCCATTGTTGTTGCACATACAAAATTATCTAAATTGATTCTAAAGAATCTTATTTGATGATTCAGATCAACTATCCTATTCAATTCGGAAAGCTGGTTTGATTTGAAGATTTGATTGGACCTTTGACTTGAATATCTAAATTAATCTACACTAGTACAGCCTTAGAATTTATCTTCCATTCAACCCTTATTACATTCATTTCCCAAAAGAAGTCAAAGACTGGTAGTGCAGTGTTATTTTAACTCCAGATTAATCCCAGTTACTTCAGAGAGTCCAATTCTCTAATGCACGTGTCCAGTATTAAAATCAAATGTAGTATTCCTACTCAACCTATTTTGCTTCAGTAGGGTAGCCATTGCTCTCTGACCATTTTAAATCAAGCTCTTTCCCCTTTTGTCAATTAGATTCTAAAGAACCATTAGCAAAGCTTGCCAATGCCAAATATGCACCATCTGGCAAACACGAAGAGGTGGTTTTTTTTAATGATACTTTTCTTTTTTGAAGTTATGCTACAGCTACACACAAAACCTTTCCTTGACAGAAATTAGCCTTTAAAATCTGTTGGGTTTTCTGTTTTTGCTTCTGCTTCTGTCAGTTTTTATATTTCTCTCCCTTGTTCATTTAATAACACTTTTAATTCAGTATTATAACTGGAATATTTTTTTGGTCCCCTTTAATCCCACTTTGACCCTAACTTTCTACAAAGTGGACAGTTCAAATATCATCATGAAAGTTTTCTAGGAGTAGTCATGTATTGGAGCAAATATTCTTTTTTTCTACTTTTGTATTCTCCTCTTGAAGAACATAACCCAGTACAACATTCCTAGAATGACAAGATCACCTCTTAGTAATAGAAATAACAATATATGTGTTTTTGACTAAAATTGCCATAAGGTAAAGATAAAGATTCCCCTCGCATGTATGTGCTAGTCATTCCTGACTCTAGAGGGCGATGCTCATCTCCATTTCAAAGTCAAAGAGCCAGCGCTGTCCAAAGATGTCTCTGTGGTCTTGTGGCTGGCATGACTAAATGCCGAAGGTATACGGAATGCTGTTACCTTCCCACCAAAGGTGGTTCCTATTTTTCTATTTGCATTTTTGCATGCTTTCGAACTGCTAGGTTGGCAGCAGCTGGAACAAGTAATGGGAGCTTACTCTGTTATGTGGCACTAGGGATTCAAACCACCAAACTACCGGCCTTTCTGATTGACAAGCTCAGCGTCTTAGCCACTGAGCCACCGTGTCCCCTAAAATTGCCATATTCTTTCCCCAAATCAATACTAGTGGAGAAAAAAAGTACTGTAGGGGAAAAATACTCTAGAAAGGATGGACTTGTTATAAAGAAAAATACAAGGAAAACAAGTGGGCACAGAAACGAGAAATGGATTTAAGTAGAAAAACTCTTTAGGGCCTCATATAAGTTTTTCTGGGTAATCTTGATAGTAGAATAAGAGGAGACAGACATTTATTGATTTTTTTCTGTACCATGTGTGGTTCTTTTCACTCCTCCTTGAATTAATTCTCCTCTCAACATTTGCATTTCTCTACAGAAGTGCCAATATCACTTTTATTAAATCAAAGATATAGATTTGTTTTAAAAAGAAAACTTGTGTGGTATCCTTAAGAAGCCTTGGGCTTCTTAAGCCTTGGGATGATATTGTATGGAAGAG